TCTTATATAATATTTTAAAGTTCCTTCAAAAGTAAAGCTCTGAGAGGCTGCCGCGTGTCTCATACATTTCTGACATATGTCATTGTACTTTAATTTCAATGAAAACCTATTTAATAATTTTTTACTTTATAACCTTAATTAAGGGAAATACAAAAACGTTTATAAAATTAAATTATTATGAATAACTACATCAAGAAAATCATTTATTAAAATAAAACTGAAAATAGATTATCATAGTTATAATCTAATTTTATGATCCTTATATTTTGAAAATAGATTTTAATATGAAATTATTTGGCTAAAATATGAACTCAATTAAATAATAGTGGATTGTAAACATAATAAAAGCTAACTCAATAAGCTCAATAACATTCTCGATATTTTCAAGGATAAACACAATATCTTTGATTCTACGTTTGGGTTCAGACATTTGAATTGTATATATGTTTCTTATGTTTTTTTCATGATTAAAATATATTGGACTTTAAGAAAAACATGTTATATTATAATCATCTAGTTCTTTATTGTTTCATTTCTTTTTTACTATATTTTGGATTATAAGTTAGTAACCAATCATAATTTCATGAAAAATTTCAAAAAATACCACATTTTTGAAATCTTTACAAAAATGCCACTTTTTCAAAAAAAAATTTTTTTATATTATTTATGTTTGGGTTAACTATGTTCTATTAGGGTTTAGTTTTGAGTGTTTAGGGGGTTTTAGGTGTTAAACATTTTTTAGGAGTTAGAATTTTAAGCTATAGACTTTATAAATCTATAATTAGTGGTATTTTTGTAAATGGACACTCCTAAATGGCATTCTTGCAAATGTGCACACAAAAAATGATATTTTTGTAATTGCTCCTAATTTCAGTATATTATCTTGAAACAATTGTCAATTTAAAAAGGAAACAAATATTATGAATATTATTTGTCTGCATCAGTATCAAAGTAGTTACAAATCACTTTATATTTCATGTCCAAGCATTATAGATAAAATGAACAATTAATTTTAATTTCAAGACAAATAATATTCTGTATTTACAAAAACAAAAAACAAGTTGGTTGTTTTTCAAACATAAATAATAGATTATTAGATAAATCAAATTATTATTTTTTAAATAAAATTTTAAACAAAAACTCGTGCATCGCTCAAATCATATTTAAAATTGATTAGTTAAACATATATTAAATTATACTTGGGGCAGACAAAAATCTAGTCAACATAGTAAGAATGAATTGCGCGAGCCTCATATGGTAGGGTGAATAAACTACGACTGGGAAAAAGTTAAATGACTTTGGGTTCTCATAAATAAATAGAAGTTACAAATGAGAATCTAATATTATTCATAT